AATCAGAAAAATATATGGTATTTTTTAGTATATATACTAGTTAGATAGTGTGATGAAAACATGATACTACTAATTTGATACGATAGAAAAAAATCATAAAGATACCTCTAAAAATTTTTTTTAACGAGTAAAAACCATACTAATATACATGCAATCATTTTCATTTTTTGTCAGAATATTCTACAAGCAACATATTAACGTAATAGTGTTTTAATTTTTTAATAAAATTTATAGATTTTCTTTAAATCGCATTTTCTTATTTCTGAAATAATATGTACGGATGTGTGCGTAAACGCCTGTGTACCGACACTGCTGGCCGAGGCCCGATGCTATACAGACGTGTCGCTCTCTTTGCCGCATTATTTACGTAAATATTGTTTAATGTTTTTGTATAATTTTATTTTTAAATTCATTTTTTCATATTCATAAATATTTTTCTTTTCATAAATATTCCTCTTTCGTGTAAATATAAAATATTTTAAGTTTAGATTAATTTAAATTAAGTTAATAATTATAATTGGTAAATATGGGAAGTAATAATGAAACCCGTTACGAAGACTAAAAAAGTTAATATAACTCAAACGCCCAACATATGAACGAAATTAAAAGGTAAGAACATTTTATTATTACTAAATATTAATTTTTATAACAATAAACTTATGATTTGGAAATGTAGTGTATACCTGAGTACCTTGGTTCGATTCCAGGAATATGAAGTCAAATTTTATTTTTTATTTAAAGTATTATATATTTAGATAAATTTATTAAATATTTTTCTAAATAATAACTAAAAAAATATATTTATTTTTATAACAATAAACCTATGAATTTAGGAAACTTAGTGTATTACAGTAGCGCATTTTGTAGAATTATGGATTTGCAGTTCGCACTCGAGAGTACCTGGGTTCGATTCCAGGAATATGAAGTTAAATTTTCTTTTTTCTTTTTTATTTAAAGTATTACATATTTAGAGAAATTTATTAAATACTTTTATAAATAATAACTAAATATAATATTTATTTTTATAACAATAAACCTATATTTTGCAGCTTGCACTCGAGAGTGCCCCGGTTCGATTCCAAGAATATAACGTCAAATTTTCTTTTTTATATTTTAGTTTAAGTATTACATGTTTAGATAATTTTATTAATTAGTTTTATAAATAATAACTAAAAAAACGTTTGAAATGTAATTATTTTTTACAGGAGAAAGAAAGTTGAAAATATCAACACGAAAGTTAGTATTTCCAATGTGTAAGTACCTACCTAAAACTTTTCTAAGCTACAATAACAATAAAAAAAAACTAAATATACCTAATGTTTTTGTTAAAAAACCGCGGCTTATTGATAAATTAACAAATAGGCATGACGAAATAACAGAATCATCTGTAAGAGTTTAGGTTTATCGATTTTGTTTATAAGTAGGAATTATAATTATGTATGAATGTTAGGTATTTTACTTGTAGCCAATTTTTCAGAAGCAAATACAAAAAATAAGCGAAATGCAAATTTTTATTACGTATCTTGTGGACCATAGAACTATAATATTTAGAATTGACATCTACATAATTTGAAATATTCAATTTTTTGCATAGATTGGAAACAGTACCACAGGAAAATCATCATTGTGAAGTTATTGATATAAGTAAACAATATCCATCGAAGCGTGTACTGGAAGAAGCCTATAGTACACAAGTAATATTCATAACATCAGCCACACGTTGTAATGTAACATGCCTAGCCACAAACACACACACGCACACGCCAACATACACGCATACACACGCACACACACTCACACATAGACACACATACATGCGCATATATTTCTCAATTTTATATTTAATAATTTGAAAACTAGATGTTGTTATCATTGTAGCACTTACAACTGTAAGTATGTACTTACTTATTATATACCTACTATTACGGGGATTGAGACTGTTACTCCTTAACGCAGGTTATCCTGTAACCTAGCTAGGAGAACAGAGCTACATCCACTAGATTGAATATAATATTTTATAGTTAGTACAAACGATGTAATGTCCTACCCATATACTACAATCACTTTTATATAAATAAAGTTTGTTACTATTATTATATAAATAAAAATAATTTAATTTTCATCGAATCAGTTTTATTTCAAAATTACCCACATCCTTAAATTTTCAAGTAACATTAAATTAAAAATATATATAATAATTTCGTTGTCCCATCTATTTCTTTGTTAGATCTTTATCTTTACCTGCGTTTCGTCTATTATAAAACTCCGGCGTAACTTCGTTAGTGTCACTGTCACTGTCGTTAGATGGCGCTCACATGGGTTGTGTAAATGTGTGCGTGCATAACTCAAGGTCACTTGGCTCTTGTAGTCCTCTTAATGATGAATAAATTTTACGTAATTTATTTTTACTAGCTGTTCCCCGCGACTTCGCCCGCGTGTAATTTAGGGTTTTATTTATTTTGTGCCGAATCCTAATTCTTTTCTAAAATAAAAGTAGCCTAAGTTACGCCTAATAATATCAGCTATCTGCCAGTGAAAGTCCCGTCAAAATCGGTTCAGCCATTTCAGAGATTAGTCGAAACAAACAGACAGACAAATTTTTAAAAATTGTCTTTTTGTTATAAGTAATCGGTTCAGCCATTTCAGAGATTAGCCGAAACAAACCGACAGACAAATTTTTAAAAATTGTGTTTTTGTTATAAGTACCGTATATAGTTTCATATGCATTTAGTAAAAAGCTGTTATTTTGACATTACAAACAGACACTTCAATTTTATTTATTTGTATAAATATCTCATGGATCTTTCTTTTAATTCTAATCAGAAAATATAAGAAGTAAAAGTAACATTTTTGACTGACATTGACAAAAGTTATAAACAGGTAAAAAGTAAAGAAAAGATACAGTCTATATATGTCCCACTGTTTTTCACTGTTTCTCCCCTGTTTCTCTAATACGTAAGGGCGGACTTGATATTATGTCCTCGAAATATTTTATTCCTGCGACATGCCGGTTTCTTCATGATGCTTTACCTCACCGTAGAGCACATAGTAATTCAGCACTTAAAATTGCAATTAACAATTTCATTAATACCGGTGCTGATCGAACTTGGTTTGCCCGCATACTGTGAAATTTACATCAAGCACCCTAACCCCTGAGCCACACGGCTCTATAAAATGTATAAATGTTTTGTTAATTCATTACAGCGTACATTTTTATTTTAAAATAACCTACATACATACGTCACATTACAGGGCATAAGTCCTCGCTGGAATTCGATGCGTATTTTCAGTAATGGATGGTGTACGAATGACTACGCGTCACCATACTTTGACATTTTTGTAGAGAAGGGACAACATTCGTCGTGTACAAAAACGGATTAATATTGCTGCAGGATAACATTAGTTTGATTTGGGTTCGTCCAATATATCATGTTGACATGGATATGGGTGGACCAATGTGTCATGGATATCGGTTAAAAAACTTTTATATTGAGTCAAAGGTGTGGATATTAAACCCTTTTGTAGTATACATATTATTACATATGTAAAAAGAAATTATTTAAATTAAAATACATATAATAATTAATACTTATTCAGGAGTTACATTAAAATCTAAAAAAAAAAACAACACGTATATTATCAAACAAAGGACTAGTATAATAACAGCCTTGAAGACTTCATTAATATTTTTATTCATTATTTACAACCTTTCAAAAATCTACTGCTGAACACTGCCACCCCCCAGACCGACTCACAGGAGAGGATATTTGCCATAGTTGACACGCTTAGCAAGCGCAGTTTTTTTTTAAATTTCATGTTGTTATCAGGAATATACTGGTGCCCATTTCCATTTTCATTTCCCTCTGTCGCCTCTTACAAAAGCAACGGAATTAATATGGGGTAGGGTAGTGGATTCTCTTATGTCAGTACTACACGACGAAATTCCGAAGTCTTCACTTATTTATACAATACTACCTGGTGCCAGGCACGTTGCAGCCGTCGAAGCATTAATAGTGGAAATATCGTTTTAAATTTGGAAGAGTTATATTGTTTAATTAGGAATGGTAATACATTCGTTGAAGTTGAATTATTCATAAGTTTGAAATAAACTTGTCGGTACGATACACGCGCCACTTACTGTAAGTTAATTGTACTATGCATATAACCATCGCGAAAGTGCAAGCAATATGTTAACAAAGTTTTACCGAAATCTGATAAACGGTATGGCAGCGTGTAAAATAAGAAAAAACAAACTTTAACACCTCTTAGCCAGCGTGTAATTTGAAAGGCAATATGGTAGAGAATAATAATAAATCATAGAATTTTCTGGTATTGGGGGCATAATTCTGAGAAAATTAAAGATAATTGAAAAAACAGTCATAAAAATGAATTATTTTTTCACGAAAAGCAAAGAAGTCACGATGCCACTTTTTGCGAGCTAATTGTTATTTTATCCATACCGCTAGGTAAGTGGCATCATATTTTTATTTTTATTTTAAAGTAATCGACTCACTACTTTGGAAAAATTCGTTATTTTTTGTCAATAAAAAGTAAAGTATATATATATATTTTTATTTTTTGTCTATTTTTTGTTGGTCTAGTTTCGCCCCCTTTCAGGGTTGCACTTTACAGAGGGACATACTGTATTAGATAATTAGTATGATGTGATTTCTCATAAGTCAAATTAATGTTAACACGCGATTTTTATCATTTAAGGGAGGATACAGGACTGTACAGAGCACTACCATGCTACGTTATTATCTACTATTTGTTTCGAGACGAGGCGCTCAATTAAATCCCGAGTCTGAATCGAATAATTTATACAATTTGAATACAATAACTTTTGCTCGGTATATATTATAAATAATTCTCATCGAAAATTTTCTTTAGAGGCCATAGAAAGTCGGCTTTGTGAAGTGCGAAGTTTGGAAAATGTTCGGAGGGATGTCTCCATCGTTAGGACGTATATAGGCTGTTATTTAAAGTAACGTTTTACTTACAGGGTTATTGATGACAGTCTGAAACAATTCCCCTCCTTGTATTGAACGGTCTAGTCGCTGCCTGCCACCGGGGTACCGTTCTAAAAGCAGCGTGTGCGTGAATAGACCGCACGTCTGGCGAGGTAAAACCATCACTCCTCGATGTCGGAATCCCCGCCGTAGCCTGCACAAAATCATTTTTTTTATATACGATAAGGGTAACAAACAAGCATACAGTCCACCTGATGGTAAGTGGTTGCAGTGGCTCATAGACATCTACATCTATCTTCGTTTCCGAATCAAAATGCGGATGCGTTGTCACCCGTGAGGACTAAGATGGAATGCCTCTTTTCCAGTAAAAGGGTCTCCGGTTCTCTACACTCACCATATGAATAACAGCAGCGTTAAGCTGCTATTTTATGCTGGTATTCTGTGAGAGCGTGGTCCTTCCCCGGTCGAGCCGAACTATTCGTGCTACAACTATACTTTATATAGCTGCAGCATACTCGTAGCTCTACCACGTAAATATGTTAGGAGACAATTTGCTGTTTTCATGCATATACATATAAAATCCGTAAATTATGTTCCGACCCCAGTAGGTTCCTAATTAACATATTAAATCACTTGACCATCAATGGAAACTTTACATTGAAAGATAGCATTTCCGGTTCCGTCCTTTTTATCAGTTTTCTTACTTTTATCAAACTATTAGATCAAATCAATATTGATTTGATCTAATAATTTGATAAAAGTATATAACCACCGTCGCTTGTGGGGACGAACCACATGAAAAACATCAGCCCCATCGCGTGGAACTCTATATACTTTTAATGAAGTGGATACGATATGCCAGCCAATGCGCATGCATACCGATAATAAACAACTTTCGCGAGGTGGGTACTATAAATTCAAACATCAATCCAGAGGACAGTACTCAAGGTATCATCAGTACGACAATCACAACATTAATGGAAGGGGTTCATTTCACAACCAACGTTTGCAACCCGATGTTTCAATGTATATTATTATTACTATTAATCAGTTAATAAAGTACTTGCCGAGTGAGCGATGCTATCAGTACCAGAAGCATAGCTACGTTATTACTTCCTAGTATTTTATATATTTCTATATACTTTAATCGTCAATGATATGTTCAAACTGCTTTACAATAACTTCTGTCAATACGAGTATACATAATTAGGTTTGTTATTGAAATCGCAAGATAATGAAACTGCCGCACATTATTTTATCAGTTTGTTTTATGTTATAACCGCTGCTATGACCTAAGTTAATGTCTCAATTGATTGCGCTGAAGCGATTCCGATCTGTAGTGGCTTCCAATTTAAATGATAATTATAACCTTGTTAATTATGAAGGTTGTTGTTAAGTACTGGTATTCTTAATTTTGTTTAATAAAAGGTATTGGAAAAAAATGAATGAGATAATTGCTTTCGGATTAGAATTGTCAACATCATTATGATTATAATTGATAAGGTTACGTTTTAAGTATATGTATTCTAAATTTTATTTTGAAGCATTGATTGATTTCATTTGAGAAAAACGATTCTCAAAAATCGTGAATTAAATTATTAACCATTAAGGAATAGATCAAATTCGATGCTTGTATTAAAATAAGGACAAAGGTATTTTAATAAGAAAATTAATAGAAGCGTTTTACCTGAAATAAAACGCATATTAAAATAATTACCTTACTGGAAGCTTAACATTGAGAGATAGCATATCTGCGGTTCCGTCGTTTTTATCAGTTTTCTTAATGAAATAAACGACGTAAATGCGTGCGTGCGTGCATGGGTGTAGATGTGGTTGTGGGTGTATGATATATGGTATATATATATATATACCGAGTACCGAGGACAATATATCGAGTTATGGATAATAGATTGAATTAAAATTTAAAGTACGTAACGTTAAAAAGATTTAGGGACACCGCGATTGAAAAATTCGTCGACTCTGAACATACTTCAGCATAAATTAAACATTCTATGGATATGACTGATATTAATAAGTTTATAAATAACAAGCTCATATGAAACAACTAGAACTATTATGGAAATTACTGCTACAAATTAGAGGTATGTACAGCACTTACTAGTTTTGTTATTATCGACGAAATTTGTTTTATTATGACCTATTACACTTATTTTATGTTTATAAATGCTTTTATATGTAATAAGTATTATATTAATCAAATTATACAAACAATGGTTAAAAGGACAATAAATTTAGCAGCCTGCTTTCATTAAACATTTAAAGAAGAAAAACAGCCCATTTCTGCGTAATGATTTATACGCTAAATATATCCCACTTTATGGCTGCCATAATTTTAAATAAATGTAACATGGCCGCGTGTCCTTCTTTCACACGTTTTGTTATTTTAGCATAATTTGAATATTCATAGTATCAATGTTTAACTCAAAAAGTCAACAAAGCAAAATGTTGGTTGAAAATTATGTGCAGTTACTACCGCAGATATACCTACAGTTTTATATTCTCTACTTAATAAAAAGTTCACAGTAATAGTTCTAATATTGAACTTACTCGCACATTTCCCATATTATACGAAGCGTATATATTATATCGCCTTACTATAAATAATAGTTTATAGTCTAAGCTATAGATTCTGTTTTTATTATAAAGAATTGTCATGGAAAAAGCATACATAGATTACATTTGTAAAGCATGGAATTTGACAACAAATGACTATGCTAAAAGCTAAGGGACTTATTTCGTGACAAATATCTTCTTTAAGCCTTATTTAATTGCCTGACTCATCAATAAAACAAGTTTTTTAATAAAGCCGATACCATCTTGTAATAACAAGTAGTATTAACACTATTTCTCCACTAGAAGGGTAGTCGAAACCACCAGTTTTAGTGGAATGTTAGCACGCGTCGAACGCGCCGCATTATATAGCATGCCACCTTCAATATTCGAATACCTATCGCATTTTATAAAGTACCTACGACGCGTTCGGTGCTGACAAATATTCGTTCAGCTTTAAGGAAAGGCCAGATAAACGCCATCGATGTCCGATGCAATATTCCCATGGAAAATTGTTAAGAGAAAACAATCGTGATACGGCACCAACATTTGAGAGATGTTTATTTAGCACCGCTATCGCAAAACTATCTGCAAAATGTGGCGTTTACGAAAATCGCAAATTAGAAAAGTCCAATGTCCAGCTAAAAACCTTTATATTTATTTTACACATAAAAAATGCGGAACATAATTACCTACGCGTTTGTTTATTGTAAAATCAAAATTCCAACAGGTTGCAGTGACTTCTAACCAGTTATTTAATTTTTCTTTTATTCGAGAGGCAAACAAGTATCAGTGGGCTCGCTTCAGTTTTACGAGCGCCATTTTATGTCAGTCTACAAAAGCATTCATCATTGTACTTCCGCGTTCCGCAAGAACTACTGTCAGTGCCTCGGAACCGTAACTTCCTTTATCGTTTTTAATTGATTCTATTATAGAGAAATTAACAAAGATTTTTTAAAGTTAGTAGTTAGTAACAATGGAATAGACAATGATTTGATATAACTTTTACTTAGATTTTCATTAGTCAATGCATGATTGCATTTCTCAATTATTTGTACTGCAATACTTTTGTTTAATTAATTTGTAAAACAGACATTTTATTGATATAACTGTGAAACGGGGTCAAAGGTGGGAAACGTTTGGTCCGCTGGCAGTCAAGCGATTAGATCATTTTGCGATTACGGCAAATCGTCTCGACTACGCTACCGTGTATATATCAAGAGTGGCGTGAGTAAGCTCGATTTCATTTCTAGGCAATTAACGTATTAAATTTTAAAAGAACTGCATTTTCAACCAACAAACGGAGGAGGTTCTCAATTCGTCGAAATCTTTTTTTTTGTATGTTCACCGATTACTCGAAGACGCCTGAACCGATTTGGAAAATTCTTTTTTTGTTTTAGAATGGCGCCGGTGGTTCCATATAAATTGATCAAAGCCTACCTAGTAGTTTTTGAGTTATTATTTTATATTGAAGTCGGTTGTACAAAATTTTTGATTCTACCACTTGCAGCTTATCCTTTCTACTTCTAGTTTCAGGGTACTCCCCTTGTTACATCAACCAGTATCGGAATCCTTGGGGTCGACATATCGCATGAGGTGTTCAGCAGAGCGGGTCAGTTTCATGCCGGCACACCGCCTGCAACTTTACACATGGAATACTGTTCCCATCTTTGAGCCGGGGCTTCCAAGTGTCAGAGATTCATCGGCGTCCGAGCTCTTTCTATATATAGTTCTAAATATATATAGAGCTCCACATTTTGATTATACTGATTAGGACGACAGTATAGGAGAGGCCCATATTCGGCAGTGGATTGTTCAAGGTATGTTTTAAGAAAAAAAGTTATTACCTGGCCGGCCTCAAATGAGGGTACTCCTCGGTGCTCGTTACTTTAACATCCCACACTTTCCGCCAGGCCTCGTAAAGCGGCTCGTGCACAGGATACACGCCGGAGTGGTGCGGCGATACCGAGTAACACGAATTGGTGGGAATGCCGTGCTCTATTGCGAATTGTTTGTTCAGCATCATCTCGGTCTCAAGTTGGGTAACGTTGTTATATAGATGCGGCTGTTGGTGGTTCCACATGTGACAAAACCTGAAGACAAAAAGTAATGTTAGCATACTATTATTATACGTAGGGCCCGGATATGTATTATGTAAATACATATTATGTTTGTCCTCGTGCAATTTATGTTTGTAAACTGCCTCCACGATACAGGAGAAAATCCTAGTGTGGGGGTAACGTTTTCAATACTAAAAAAAAATTTAATAGGATAAATATTATGTAAATACATACTTAAATTAAATTTAACCGATTTTTGTTATGGATCAAAGCGGTGATTTTTTTTTCTATACAAATTGAATGTGCGCGCATTACGTCTGAATGCGCAGGCGATTCATTTCCGACGCGTGCTCGTGACTCTATCCTATTTAGCATTGAAACTACTCAACACTACCGGTTAAAGTTACAATACTACTGTATATTAATAGATGTTTAATATCATATAATATGCAAACGTAGGTATTCTACATAATACATATATTGTTTTTTACGTGGTAGAGCCATGCTGCAGCTATATTAATAGTATAGTTGTAGCACGAATGGGTCGGCTCGACCGGGGAAGGACCACGCTCTCACAGAATACCAGCTTAAAATAGCAGCTTAACGTTGCTGTGTTTCGTATGGTGAGTGTAGAGAACCGGAGACCCTTTTTACTGGAAATGAGGCATTCCATCTTAGTCCTCACGGGTGACAACACATCTGCATTTTGATTTGTAATAGAGGATAGATGTAGATGTCTATGGGCCGCAACAACCACTTACCATCAGGTGGACTGTGTGCTAGTTTGTCACCCTTATCTTATAAAAAAATTGTACAAGACCATTACGTCGTATAGGGCTGTGAGTTCGTGGCTACGACACTGAATGTTTTGGATTCTAATCTAGCCGGAGCCAAAATTTGATTGATATTCGTGTCTAATTGTGTTGCGCACTAAAAACTTATTAGTATTAAGCTGAACGCTAAAAGCATTTATCTACATAACTTAAATCAAAGTCAAAAATTAATTTATTCAGTTTACCTCATTTTCAGCTCAATAAACATCACAATCTGATTACCAATTCAAAGTGTTTTTATAAATATAATAAGAGTGACAAAAGAGCACGCAGTTCACTTGATGGTATATGGATAATGAGCCCATAAACATCTAAGGACCGTCACCCCTGGACTAAGATGAAAAAATATCTCGTATGCAGTAAAAAGGATCTCCGGTTTTCTACACTCAGCATAAGAAACTTAATGCTGCTGTATTAAGCTGATATTTTACGCTGGTATTCTGTGAGGGCGTGTTTATTCCCCGGTCGAGTCAACTCATTCGCGCTACAACCATAATATAGCTGCAGCATGGCTCTACCACGTATTTACCTATGTTGGAATTATAACTTATTTCTGCCAATCACTAGTGCAGAAAGAATTTCATTTCGTAACGTGTATTATCGTAATTATCCTAAAAGTAGTTAAGGTAGTTTAAAAATATCATTTGGAATTTCATTATATATTGCATTTTTATTATATATTGTATGTATTGTATTTTAATAGATTTGGTTAGGAAAGTTTTTTTTATTTTTGGCTAAGCTGTCTTAGGAATAAATAGCAAGCTTACTGTTGCGGGTAGTGACGCATGACTATGTTACATGTTTTTCAAAGTTATTCATTTTTTTACGAACGTACGTAATGATCTCATAAATATACAGCGACGGAATAAATGATGCGATGTTATTTGTGGTTGTAGTCATGACGTTTATTCTATATCGCTTATCGTATAAACGTTTCGGCCAGATAAGACGCTTTGGAAACTAATATCACCGTTTAAAAATCGATTAGGTGTTAAAATCAGAATAATATACGGTACGGCAGTATATTCTAAGTTATAAAGATTGTAATATTAATCAATAATAGCCGTTTTAGTTAAAACACTTAAACAACATTGTTGCTGTGATAACGAAAATATGTTTGTCCTTCATTTTGTATTGTAATTTCAAAAGCCACCGTAATATCGTCTTATAAAAAACGTTCTTATGACACTAGCTGGCCCGGCAGACGTTGTTACGCCCTTTCAAGTAGTTTGCACGACGAGTTTCACTCCAAACTCTATACATTTACAATGTAAAAATAAAACTTACTAATAGCTCAACAGCAATCAATCAGCTCGGGTCTAGATTGTGTGATTTTAATTTTTGACTCTAAACCAACACGTTATGTTGTGAATATGAGTCATTTCGGTCGAAAAATATAAAATTTGTTAATAGTGAATACAGCGCCACCTATAGGGTTCTAGCATCATCATCTCGAAATAATAAAAATTACTTTAATCGGCCTAGTCGTACAGAAGTTGGGTACACGATCATTAACACACGTATCAACGATTATATAATACTGAAATATTATGCTCGCAAAAGGATCCAATGATAACTAAACGGGGTAACTAGAAATGGCCCTCGCCCATTATAGAGTAGTTTTTCCATAATCGACACGCTGAGCAAGCGAACGTCGATCACAGTAAAAGATTTCTCGCAACTTTCGACGCTGATTTCTCTGATTCTCTATATCAATCAATGCTAACCATTTTTTATGCACAGAATAAAAAAGTGCTACAGAGTAAAAGAAAAATTCGTGTAGAAACCCTCATGTCTGAAAATAAAATATATACGTATTTTAAAGACATGTGAATTCCATTGGCAAAACCGCTTTTAACATAAAAGCGGTTTTATTATTTTACGTAATAGTTCTACAGTGAATCGATATAGAACGCAAGATATAATAATGTTCTCCAGTACCGAATTTCGGTCTTAGCGGCCAGTCTGAACGGAAACTAGGCTACCAGGATAGTATTATAGTGACAGTGTATATGCGCAAGCACAAGTGCATTCTCTATCCTTCCACTCTCATAGTCCGATAGGACGGCAAAATGACCGAGAGATCAGTCGCAACGGCTTTACGTGCTTTTCTAGGAAAAGTGGTGAAACACCACATACTTCTTGATTCCGGGCTGCTACTGAGAATTTCTTGATTGACAAACGAGCACACAGTCCACTTGATGGTAAGTGCATGCTGTGGCCTATTGATATCTACATTTATCCTCAATTAAGAATCAAAATGCGGATGCGTTGTCAGCCCTGAGGACTAAGATGGAATGCCTCGATTCCAGTAAATCTCCGGTTCTCTTCACTCACCTTACGAAACACAGCAGCATTAAGCTGCTATTTTGCGCTGGTATTCTGTGAGAGCGTGGTCCTACCCCGGTCGAGCCGACCCATTCATGGTACAACCATAATATATATTTTAATTTTAAGTGCACAGGTACCGAGGGCTAATAATCTTAAGCTCACCAAATGTCGCTAGTTGGGACTAAGGTAAAGTTTTTTGTTACATAATGTAATTTAACTGAAAAGATAGTTTTAAATAGACCAGTTTCTAGAGTATATACACAAAGCAAAGTGGCTCAGTGGTTCGCTCTTTAAATTTTTCCCCAATTTTATCTCTATTTTTAATTTTTCTACTTTTAAGATATCTTTAGTTTGGTTTATTCATTTCTAATCTTATTAATATATAACATAGTTAATAGTACAGAAATCCACATTAATCTTTATATTTACCTAACATATTAACTTCCATATCGTTCCATAGGTGTAGTAAGAGGCGAGCACGGAGGAAATACAAAAAGGAGACGGCCTAAACAACAGCGCACTGTGATTCTAACTAGGTCCTGACGTCATCACAGTGGGTGTGCCTTTAGTTAGTATACTGTTAGCGTTCGTCTTGTGCGCTTATATTTTTTTTTATAGCCGAGGGGGCAAACGACCATGCGGCTCACCTGATGGTAAGTGACTACCGCCGCCCATGAACAACCGCAACATCAGGGAATTGCAGAAGCGTTGCCGGCCTTTTAAAAAGGAACGGCTTTTTTCTTGAAGGTTCCTAAGTCGTATCGGTCCGGAAAAATCGCTGGTGGTAAACTATTCCACAAGGAAGTTGTGCGAGGAAGAAAACATCTTCTAAATCGCACAGTGGTGGACCGCCAATCATCCAAATGGTGTGGATGGTATCGGGAGTTCTGCCTCGATATGCGTTCGTGAAATTTGGCAGGTGGGATTAATCCGAACAATTCCTCAGAGCACTCCCCGTGGTAAATGCGAAAGAAAATGCAAAGAGATGCAACATCTCTTCGCAGCGCCAATGAGTCGAGCCGATCGGAAAGGACTCGGTCGTCGACGATTCGAGCCGCTCTGCGCTGGATGCGGTCAAGTGGAAGGAGCTGGCACTGGGGAGCCCCAGCCCAGAAAATTATATTTCGAAAATAGCAAATCGGTGTATTTTCGTATTATTAAGAAGAAAAGGATAAAGTGTTGTGTTTTATCGTCTAAAAACTACTCAGATATACGTTCTGATGCTATGGATGTCATCATATTTCATTTGTAAGTAATTTTATACATAATTTATTAAAATAATTCTGGAAAAACCTCTGCGTCGGTTTTCAAATGTAATTAAATATATTCGACACTAGATGGCGACACTTTATATCATGGGAACTAAAAATGTAAAGGTACCTAAAATTCAGTATTGGTAAAATAATCATATAAATAATCATATGTTGACGAGTATGTTTACCTGGGACAAAAAGTCCGACTAGGTAAGTCCAACTTCGACCGAGAGGTCAATCGACAGATTCAACTCGGCTGGGCAGCGTTCGGGAAACTACGACACATCTTTTCGTCAGACATACCTCAAAACCTTAAAACGAAATTGTACAACCAGTGCGTGTTGCCAGTTATGACTTACGGATCTGAGACGTGGTCCTTCACTGCTGGCCGTATGAAGAAGCTCAAGGTCGCTCAGCGAGCTATGGAGAGGGCTATGCTCGGGGTTTCTTTGCGCGATAAAGTTAGAAATGAGGATATCCGCAGTAGAACCAGAGTAACTGACATAGCCCAACGGATTAGTAAGCTGAAGTGGCAATGGGCTGGCCATATAGCTCGAAGAACCGACAACCGATGGGGAAGAAAGGTTCTCGAGTGGCAGCCTCGTACCGGTAGGCGAAGTGTAGGGCAACCTGTCACGAGATGGAGTGACGACCTGGTAAGACATGCAGGAAGTCGATGGATGCAGGTGGCTCAGGACCGTGCTTTGTGGCATTCTTTGGGGGAGGCCTATGTTCAGCAGTGGACTTATGAAAGGCTGTAATGATGATGATGATGAAAATAATCATACAAAGGTGCTATTTGATATTTGGTTTGCATTCGGTCCTAAAGAACTTTTAATCGCCAAAAAATTATTATAGTTTTTATAATTATTTTGTGAACAGGCCGCCATCTGACGTCAAGGTAGCTAAACTACATTGCAACATCGATATGGAACGATGCGAGTAGTTTTACTATTTATTGGTGGATAGAAAATAGTACAATTACCCCGCAAATCGTCACGCCTTGTTACAACACCTCTTGTTTGTATTGACAGAGGGAAACTCTAACAGGATATGGGTAACAACATTTTCCTGAACATTTTCCTCTCTACGAGGCAATCTATGGGGGAGGCTTAAGTTCAGCAGTGGACTTTCATAGACTGTAATGGATAATGTAATTAACTTCCCCGCGATGAAATCTGTCAAATAAATCACCTCACTCTAAAGAGGCGCCACTCTTGTAACAGACAAAGTCGTAGATCGTTAATTCGTGTATATACATATGTGTAAAAAAAATTAAATTTGATTATCATCAGAATAATATACTTACCAAGTAAAATGTTCCCTGTTCTTTAATAAAGCGTCATCGCCACGATTCTCGAGCGGTGTTCCATGGTGATAATATTTCGCACTGAAGCCAAGATTGAACCGAAAACCAGAGACCAGTCGCTGCAAAGCAGCTTGAGAAGCCAATAACGCCGATACATCTTCTTCGTGGAGACGAGTACCTGTACGGAAATAAAATATGTTTATACTTACGAATATTTCTGTAAATCGTCAACACCACATAATTTAAGGCCTAATAATTATTTTTATAGAATGAGGGTGACAAACCAGCACACAGTCTACGCAATGGCCCATAGACATCTATTACTATCCTTAGTTAAATATCAAAATACGGATGCGTTGTCACCTCTGAGGACTAAGATGGAATGTCTCGTTTCCTAGTAAAAAGGGATACTAGAGAAAGAAAATGATAGCCATATAATATGCATATTGATACTGTCGACGATGTATCTATCTAAATAAATAAATAATAAATAAAATATTTGAAATCAACCTAATCGTTCGGTGCGTGATATTTAAACCATTATCCTTTTTAGGCTCTAATATCCCTACTTATGGATTCCCTCAGTTGTCCCTCAAGCCGAACAAATTTTACAACATTTGCCAAGCACCATGTTGTTCAATATGTTGAGCGATAACGCGGAGCTTTTGTTTAGGAAATTATAGTATAATAATAATAATAATAAATTATAGAAAATAGATGAAAAATTGACATAGAACATAGAAAAATAGACTTACCTCTTTCGCCAACAAATATATCATCGATATCGACAAGGATCCACCTCTCCAGGCTGAGGCTCAATTGTCCGTGGCTCAAATAGCTCAAAGCGTCGAGAAACAGAAGCCGGTGCAACCAAAACTGGAATCCGGAACCAAACAATACTCGCTGAACACCGTCGAGCCTGCCGTGATCTTGTATCACCGTCGCCAGTGGTGACCGGTTTTCTGTGCAAAATACTGTTTTAAACTTTCTTTATCACGCAAGTAATGCTATACAAACGATAAGGCTACTGCTGCATACCACGGCTATCACCAATACTAACTAATAATACCAACGCTTAACACCTTCAACGCTATTGACCTGCATATGTACATTTTTTTCATATTTTTTTTTTATCAAGCGGTGATAAGACTAGTCTATTTTGGTGGCATTAAATTGCACCAATCTAAGATCAGCATCGCCGCAATCTGAGATTGTCTGTAAGGTGAAATTCATACGCTGCTTTCTACCAAGGCCTTCCTTTCAGACACACCGTGCTTTCATGTGCATACCCAAAAATACCAGGTAATAGAATGTATCCGAAGAAACCCCGGCATTAGGGTAGGTTCAGAAGATCAGCTATCAATAATACCGACCCTCGACCCGATCAAACCCTATTTAATGCCTTAAAATTATCAAGTGAGACGGCAAGTGATCACTGAAATTCTTGAACCTCTCACCCCATAGATGATTGGCGTGACTTTGAAAATCCTCTATAGACCGGTTTAACAAAAACCGTACTATAGGTCACTGAAAATGTCATTATGTTCATTAAACGCGACAAGCTAAGTACGTCCCATAATTTATTGAACACATTATGGAGGTTCTTGAAATTGGCCTCTAATTTGACTACCCTTTTTGGGTACAGGTTGCACATTAGCAAGCTTCCATGAATTAGGAACGATCCTTGTTTTTAATGCCATATAATCGTACGAACGTAAATACAATACAATAGAATACTCGTAATGGTACACTAAGGAGAAATTAACACAACCAAAATATTCAAATATTAGAATAAATAATTTAAAATTAAAAATTTTGTACAGCCGACTTCAATATAAGTTATTTAAGAATAACTTAAAAACTATTGGTCTGACCTTGATCAAATTCATATGGGACCACACGAGAAGCACCAGCTTTCAAATAAAAAAAGAATCATCGAAATCGGTTCACCCAGAAAAAAGTTCTGAGGTAACACACATAAAAAAAAAACGAAAAAAAAAAATACAGTCGAATTGAGTACCGGCTCCTTTTTGGAAGTCGGCAGAAAAATAGAATAGTAGGTTTAACCTACGATGGTATGATTACCACTAGCCATCTAGATTTCCGATTCTAATCACTCATATACAAATGTACAACAGCGTCTTATGCCGCCTTACTCTGGGATTCGGTGAGAGTATTACCACGGTATTTTTTTTTTATTGGATAAAGATGACAAACGAGCACACAGTCCACCTGATGGTAAGTGGTTGCTGTGACCCATAGACCTCTACATCTATCTTCGTTTGCGAATTAAAATGCAGATGCGTTGTCAGCCGTGAGGACTAAGATGGAATGCCTCTTTTCCAGTAAAATGGGTCTCCGGTTCTCTACACTCACCATACGAAACACAGCAGAGTCAAGCTGCCATTTTACGCTGGTATTCTGTGAGAGCGTGGTCCTTTCCCGGTCGAGCCGACCCATTCGTGCTACAACTATACTATTAATATAGCTGCAGCATGGCTCTACCACGTATGTCATGTGAACCCATATGCGAAAAAGTTCGACTTTCGTAAAACTAGTATTTTGTTGCAGCCAAATAAAGCTAAAATTAATTTAGCGCAGTTAACATCTGGAACATTCTGATAGTCATAATTGGCCCGGACCGGACGATATCATCATTACTATTTCGCTTTGACGTTATGTAATTAATTAAATGTCATCACGCAAATTGTGTTTACACAGAGTACCATTTTCATTGAAACAAAAAATATGATAAAATCTTTAAAAAAAATTGAAACGAAATTATCACATCAAAAATCTATCTCACGATGTACTTGTTGTAAAAATCACATAATTAATATTATTATGTCATTTTTACAGCAAGCAAGTAAATTTTCATAATCGATATTTCATATTTTAACATCATAATCAGACAAACAGTACCTATAATAGGTAAGAATATACTATATGTGTATATATTTATATGTACTATAATAGGTAAAAAAGTAAAATGCAGTTTCTGAAATATCTTGATATTAAAAGAATTAAAAATTAGTATAGCTGAGAAATTAGTACGTAAAGTGAACTTTGAATCTATAGATACCAATTATTTCTAGTTATAGACAATGTAATTACATTAAGCACTCGCCTAGTAAATGAAAATTTAAATGGAAAAGCTAGCATCCAGCAAAGGAAAAGTTACGATGTTACTCAGAGAGGAAATCTCTGGTGTGTGGAAAATTTTACACCTACTTTGTTTGAAAAACGAGGGCGAAAAACTTCCGGACTGTATGTTACTACAAAGCTAGCTCTTCCGACTTTTCGGACTTTGGGGAATAACGTTAAAACAACACACAAATAAAAAATCATCGATGTTGTACTCTACAAAGAGAAAAGTAGTCGATATACTGTATAGAGAGGTGGTGCAAGAAGTAATTTATCTCCCCTTATGTTGCGTTGGTATTATAATACTTGGCAACGTTGTTAGCATTAAACTAGCTATCTAATAGTTAATGTATGACTTCACCACGTGATGATGTCGTAAAGGAGTTCTTCTTGTGGGTGACGTACATGCCAATAAAAGGAAATATTCGAAAAATCTTGTCGCCGATAGGTTGGCTTTATTATCATCTACCCATATCATGTCAGATTTAATCAGACTCAGGCAATGGAAAACAGTAACAAAGGTGAAGGAACTTTGCTAACAATCACGTAATTTGTTTCACAGCTATCTTTCTCTTTTATTATTATTTGGGGTATCTGTATATTTATTATTATTATTATTATTATTATTACATTATCACATATATGGTCACAAAACTATAATATTGTAAATATAAATACAATCTATATAAATAATATTATTATTTCGGCTATTATCCACCGCGACGAGGAATCCCAAGTCATCGGTGAAGTTAGGTATCCAAAGATAGGAACCTTCTTACTATTCGAGCCGTGTTTAATAAGGCCGATTTTTGAATTAATCCCTTCAGCCATTTGACCAAACCTAACTTGGACAGATAATCGTTCATATTTTCACCAATAAGCCCATTGACTGATAAAACTATTGGTACAATAATAGTAGAATCAACGTCCCACATAGCGACAATCTCATGAGCCAAGTCGATATATTTTATTTTTTTATCATTCTCTGCTTTCACGAGATTCTCGTCACGAGGACCACTGATATCCACTATTATTGCCTTGCGTATAATTCGGTCTATCACGACAATGTCAGGTTTATTTGCCACTATAAACCTGTCTGTGCTAATTGACCGCTCCCACTACAGCGTGACACTTCTATTTTCAAGGACTGGCTTTGGTTCATACTTATAATATAAACCTTCTGTTGAGTAAAACAAAATTTAATGACAAGCTGCTGGTGTATTATTCTAGCTACTTGGTTATGTCTGTGCAAATACTCGCCATTTGATAGTTGTGAACAACCGGAAATAACATGTTTGAGGTACTCTCCAGGGTGGTGACATGCACGACATACGTCAACTTTACCGTCCCTCAAAATGTACTTCCGGTATTCTTTGTGAGAGATCTATATATTTTATAGGTGATTGGGTTGATGTAAAAAAGAGTCAACGAGTCCTTTACCACCAGTTTCACTGTTGGTATTTTAGTTTATCACTCAACTCCAAAAATAAACTTCACATAATAATACTTATTTTATGATTTCATCGCGTTTCAGACTTACAAGAAAGCAATATCCTATTATCAACTTGACGGCTCCGTGGTGTAGTGGCTTAGCAATGAGTTGCAACGCTTGGGGCCGCGGGTTCGAATCCCGAACGGAACAAGTATTTGTATGGCCTAAGAATAATTGTTCCGGGTCTGGATGTTTGTCCTTGTACAATATATGTTTGTAAACTGCCTCCACGATACAAGAGAAAATCCTAGTGTGGGGGTAACGTATTTTAAAATCCCGTGAGTGGCGTAAGAGGCGACACAGGGAAATTAAACAGGAGATGAGCAGCAACAACTTCCTCAAAAAAAAATCAAAATAATAAAAAAATGCGGTTGCCACGCCCGCCTGCCATGCGTGCTAACTATGGCAAATATTTATTTATTTACTTATTTATTCTTTATTGCACCAAATATTTGTACAAAAGGAGAGCTTAATGCTATAGGGCATTCTCTACCAGTTAACCTTGGGTAGAACAGAGAGTGAGTTGGGCAGTTAAATCAGTTCAAATATATACATTCAACACATATATAATATATACAAATACAAACATTCATAGATATATATCTCGATAAATGTATATATAAATAATAACTATAAACATATAAAATAAATTGACTCAATATCATTGTATCACAAATATCATATGACTGCCTCATATGTTTTTTTATATGCTGTGTTTCGTATGGTGAGTGTAGCGAACCAGAGACCCTTTTTACTAGAAAAGAGGCATTCCATCTTAGTAACCACGGGTGACAACGCATCTGCATTTTGATTCGTAATTGGGGATAAATGTAGATGTTATGGGCTACAGCATCAACTTACCATCAGGTGGACTGTGTGCTCGTTTGTCACCCTTATCCTATAAAAAAAATCGACATAGCGCAACTGATCATTAAGCTGAAGTGTGAATGGACAGGCCAATATATAGCTCGAAGAATCAACAACCGATGGGGAAGATACGTTCCCGTGTGGCAGCTTCACACCGGTAAGCGATGTGTAGGGCGGCCCCCACTAGATATAATGACGACCTGGTAAGAGATGCAGTAAGTCGATGGATGCAGGTGGCTCATTGGGGTTTGTGGTATACCTTGGGATCAGCCTATGTTAAGCAGTGGACTTGTGATTGGGCTGCAATGAATGAATGAAATGTATTGACTGTTATAGTGTTAGCGGACTTCCGAAGAGAATGTCATCTACAAGCAATGATTTCAATTCTTATTTTTGTATTTAATTACACAAAACATATGTTATAGAAATAAGATACATAACATCACCATGATAAAGGTATCCCTCGTAAAGCGTACCTACATCAATTATCATATTATTAATCCGCCTAACAGATTCGGCATAACAATTAGTATCTGATTGATGAATCTGCATGTAAATGAATTTAAATTCCCTTAAAGTTATCAAGCACAATTTTAATTTAATATTAACATTTACGTAACCATAACAAGCATAACAAGTTAGTTCTATAGTAAGATAATAAAACTAAATTTAGAGCGATATCAAACCAAAAACCAATTGGCTCTTGATTATGTTAGGTTAGAATATGAACCACCACAGAAACTAATTAGATTAACAATAGTAATAAAAACGCATTACCAAAATAATCAACATTTATTTGCAAATAAAAAATACGAATTGTGATTGTGATGCCACTACGTTGATGTGCGGCTGAATCACATATAGATTATTTTTTTTCATATAAATGTTTAACAACTCATCTCTCAGTATGTGATGTGAATTGATTATTAGGTCTATTACTTTAAATGTTGTAGTTTGTAATTTTAAATATTTATGAATAATTATGTTAGGCTTACCAAATTCATGCTCATTATTATCGTGAAAATTTGCATAAAATATATTATGTGTATTTGCTTATACTGATTAATATTATGCGTATTTACAATATACAACATGCGGATAATCGTTATGCGGCATTAAAATAAGAATATTTAATTCATACTTTTAGCCCGCCATAACACAATCTGTATTCAATTATGCGATTTAGTAGCCCTGAATCAAAAATTTTCTTGAATTGCAAACAATGATTTTTATGTCTTGCTACTACTGTGTATTCATTTAAAGTATGGAATTAATTTTTATAAGTCTCTGAAAACATTAATAGAATTTTTTTTTTGGCAACAAATCGAACGTTTTCTTTTCTTATAGATGTTTTGTCTGTACAAATATGTACAAATAACATAGTTGAAGTTAGTGTAAACAAGTTAAAATAGCCACTTATCGTCAGGACTGGTTCTCACGCTAATGTTATAAATATATAAAAGTAAAAACTATATCATAAACTAATTGGCTATAATTTTGAATAGGCTCATAGACGTCAAACAATAAAAATGATTGTGGAAACAAGAGGTAATGATAATAAAGGGCAAAACTGTTGCATTGATTAATTAAGTATAACAGAATTCGTTAGTTTGCGTACCGTGTAATAGCTGTGTTAAAACATACAAAATGGTATATTTCACATTCGTAAAAAAATTCTCGATATAAGCTCTGAATGGGATAGGACAGTCAAACTTTTCGTTTACGTCCAAAATATAAGGGAAGGGAAAATGTTTTTTTTCCAATAGAACAAATGAACACAAAACATTTTCGACCATGTACGGATACGTTTTACGTACAGTTCCACGTACAGGCCACAGAAACGAAAAGTTAGAAAAGTTTCGGATCTCATTCCGTCAGGATGTTTTATTTCATCCAATATTACACGTCTCTTTTATGTTCGCGGATGTACAGATTTTGTAAAATTATTTCTCTCTGAGACGGAACTGCGGTAATAAAGTCATAACAATGTAATTTTTTTTTTGTTAGGGCGGTTAAGGTCAAATACTGGATATATTGATATTATTTTTTGATAAATTGTAGCTTATTTTATGATGTTTTCTTTGATAGGAGAGGAGGCAAACGACCATGCCGCTCACCAGATGGTAAGTGACCACCGCCGCCCATGAACAACTGCAACACCAGGGGAATTGCAGATGCGTTGCGGTCCTTTTAAAAAGGAGTTGGCCCTTTTCTTGAAGGTCCCTAAGTCGTATCGGTCTGGAAAAATTCTCTAGTGGTAATCGATTCCACAAGGAAGTTATGCGAGAAAGAAAACTTCTTCTAAATCGCACAGTGGTGGACCGCCAATCATCCAGATGGTATGAATATATATGTAGTTTATTTATTGAAAATTACAAAAACAGTGCAGTGAATTTAATAATGAGGTACGTTCATTAGAACCGTGGAACCTTAGCGAATATGCGCGTGATATTTAATAGTATGCAAGAGAAACGAGTCCGATTTGCAATGAAACTAATGAAAAAGTTAATTTCAGTTTGAAGGGCTGATTTATCGTGTGCATGTGAAAATAAATTTGAGAACATGTGAAGTTCGTATGCATGGTGGAGACTTTCCTAATAGAAAACCTTTAGTAAAATGCAGCAGTAAAGCGTCTTTTCCACTTTAGGCTAATTAGGTTTACCTACGTTACCTTTTGGTACCTCTCTCAATGGAGTCCATACAGAATACGAGTCCATATGGATACGTTGCTGTTTGTGTCAAAAAAGAGTTAAAAAGTTGGTACCTCTCTCAATGAACTCCCATACAGAATACGAGTCCATATGGATACGTTGGTGTTTGTGTCAAAAAGAGTTAAAAAGTTGGTACCTCTCTCAATGAACTCCCATACAGAATACGAGTCCATATGGATACGTTGCTGTTTGTGTCAAAAAAGAGTTAAAAAGTTGGTACCTCTCTCAATGAACTCCCATACAGAATACGAGTCCATATGGATACGTTGCTGTTTGTGTCAAAAAAGAGTTAAAAAGTTGGTACCTCTCTCAATGAACTCCCATACAGAATACGAGTCCATATGGATAAGTTGCTGTTTGTGTCAAAAAAGAGTTAAAAAGTTAGTACCTCTCTCAATGGACTCCCATACAGAATACGAGTCCATATGGATACGTTGCTGTTTGTGTCAAAAAAAGAGTTAAAAAGTTGGTACCTCTCTCAATGAACTCCCATACAGAAGACGAGTCCATATGGATACGTTGCTGTTTTTGTCAAGAAAGAGTTAAAATGTGGTACCTATCTCAATGGACTCCCATACAGAATACGAGTCCATATGGATACGCTGCTGTTTGTGTTAAAAAAGAGTTAAAAAGTTGGTACCTCTCTCAATGGACTCACATACAGAATACGGGTCCATATGGATACGTTGCTGTTTTTGTCAATAAAGAGTTAAAATGTGGTACCTATCTCAATGGACTCCCATACAGAATACGAGTCCATATGGATACGCTGCTGTTTGTGTTAAAAAAGAGTTAAAAAGTTGGTACCTCTCTCAATGGACTCCCATACAGAATACGAGTCCATATGGATACGTTGCTGTTTTTGTCAATAAAGAGTTAAAATGTGGTACCTATCTCAATGGACTCCCATACAGAATACGAGTCCATATGGATACGCTGCTGTTTGTGTTAAAAAAGAGTTAAAAAGTTGGTACCTATCTCAATGGACTCCCATACAGAATACGAGTCCATATGGATACGCTGCTGTTTGTGTTAAAAAAGAGTTAAAAAGTTGGTACCTCTCTCAATGGACTCCCATACAGAATACGAGTCCATATGAATACGTTGCTGTTTGTGTCAAGAAAGAGTTTTTTCTTCTTTTTTTTTAAAACGTTACCCCCACACTAGGATTTTCTCCTGTATCGTGGAGGCAGTTTACAAACATATTGCACAAGGACAAAAATCCAGCCCCGGAACAATTATTTGTAGGCCATACAAATACTTGTTCCGTGCGGGATTCGAACCAGCGGCCACAAGCGTTGCAACTCATTGCTAAGCCACTACGCCACGGAGCCGTCGAGTAAAAAAGGTGGTACCTATCTCAATGGACTCCCATACAGAATACGAGTCCATCTCCATTAGTGCACTTAAAATGTTCTTGCGAATCCGTATTTAAATAAGTATGTTTATTAGTTATACAAAGCTACAAGTAAAGATGAGTAACAACTTCTATACTTATGTAAATGAATGAGAAAAATAAATTCGCAAAGGTTGTGTTAAATTGGAAACCGCAAAATAATGTGAATGAATGAACTGAGTTTAAAACTGAAAGGTAATACTCACCACCGGAACCGTATTCGTTCTGTCTCACGGCCCATGCGACAGGTTCGTACGTGGAACTATTTGCTCGGAACACCGTCCAATGATCTCCCGGCAAATCGCCCCAAGCCGTCTCACCGGCGCGGGAGAGACGCAGTACTGGTGACGCGGGGTTTAAAGTTGCGTCCTAGTTAAATAAATCAATTATAAATGTATTTCTATATGCTACGATATTTTAAGAAAAAAAAAATAACAGAAGATTTTTATTCCTTTCTTTACCCTTTAGCAAAATAATTATTTATCAAACAAACATTTCTTATACGTGGTAGAGCCATGCTGCAGTTATATTAATAGTATAGTTGTAGCAAGAATTGGTCAGCTCGACCGGGGAAGGATCACGCTCTCACAGAATACCAGCGTAAAATAGCATCTTAATGCTGCTATGTTTCGTATGGTGAGTGTAGAGAACCGGAGACCCTTTTTACTGGAACAGAGGCATTCTATCATAGTCCTCACTATGATAGAATGCCTCTGTTCCAGTAAAAAAGTTCTATGATAGACGTAGATGTCTATGGGTCACAGCAACCACTTACCATCAGGTGGACTGTGTGCTCGTTTGTCACCCTTATTATATATATAAAAAAAGAAAATATTTATTATTTCTATCTTCTATATTGGCCCGTTTAAGTCAATTGCTGAATATGAGCTTCTAATCGTCGCGCTTGCCAGGCGGAAGTGATTGCAGGATAAGATGCATCACGCACCTTGGTCGCTGTTGCCACAATCTATCGGAAGTCATAAGATTTTTCTCGCATATCCCATAGTCGTTTCTTACGACACTCACTGGACATAATGAAACGTACGTATTACACGACAAAAATGAAAACAATTAGACGTTTCAAAAAGTTCTTATCATCATCATCGTTACAGCCCTTCACAAGTCCACTGCCGAACATAGACCTCACCCAAGGATTCCACAAAGCACGGTCCTGGAGCCACCTGCATCCATCGACTTCCTTCATGTCTTACCAGATCGTCATTTCATCTAGTAGGGGGGCCGCCCTACACTTCGCCCTACACGCCGCCAAAAACAACATAAAAAAACATAATCATTGTATTTGCGCGTTAATTAAATTTATTGGAATTGTCGGTGACCTAACTAATATTCTGACAACATCAATTTTTAATTCAGCTCAACACTCTCAATTACATTACAGCCTGCATGCAGTTGATAGCACCAACAGTGTAGAAAAATTATTTTCACTGCGTCTGTCACTGTCACAGGTTCGCTGTCCTGCATGAAAGTTTTCCAATATGCCTGCATTCGAAAAACAGAAAAGCTTACCGCAACTTTATTCATAACAAAGCAATTTAAATATCACACTAAAATATAAAAATACTTTAATTTTAAATAAGTTTAACATTGTTGATATTATTGTTAATTTCATATGTGCATAGTAACAACGTATACAGGTAATGTGATCGTCAATTTGCCTGCAAAGCACAGCGCTTAAGGTCATCCTCTGCTATGAAATATAACAAACGAACCACCAAAGCCTAGGAAGATTATTTTGTAGATTATACAAATATTTGTCACGTGCGGGATTCGAATTCGCAGCGCATACCACCGTAGTCAAACTCAACTTTAACATGACCTTACTGCGACATTGCAATACTTTTTAACTATTTTAACGTCTGTAAACGTACTGAAATTTAATTATTACAGAAGTAAAATAATTTTATAAAAATTAAACATATGATATGGATATGCAATGTGTGAAACCAGAAACGTGAAACACGGATGGCACTAAATCGTTATTTAAAAGTGTACCTTGCAGAGATTCCATACTGAAATCGTGTTAAAATTATATGATATGAAAAGGCTTATAATTTTGTAAGTCATAATAAGAATACATTTATAAATTCTAAAAAAAAAAATTTTTATTTTTATTTTATATAAAAAAATAAACAAAATCGATTAGTTTAAAGCAGTGCTTAAAGATTGGACATAATACGTTGTTTGTTGTAAAATTCTTGACGCTTTAGTGCTTTTCGCTCGACTATAGCGGGAAGGGTAACAGTTTCATGCCTTCAAACCGTTCTAATTGTTTGGACTACACAAAACATAAAGATACCTAAAATTACCTTAAGTCTCAGGTTAGTATGCATAAAGAGTGGAAATCCCTTCAGCTGCGCTCCTACGAGACTCTCTTCACCAGGTGTTGCAAAACCCACAACTCCCACGGAATACTCTCGGCAGTATTTATCTAGAAGCTCCCGATTCCACTTGTCCATGTTCGCGTATTTTGAAAGCGACTCGAAGATGATAACTCCGTACCGTCCCTTGTCCAAGGTGGTGAGAATTGGTAGACTTTTGCCAGCGACTTCCACCTTGTACCTGAAAAATAATTCACCTATTAAAAATATGCCAATACCGATCTATCACACATCTATACACATTGAATTGTGTGTCTGTGATATTGAAATAACTGGCTACTTTTGAGCTCAGGAGATTATTTGCATGTTATTAAGACATAAATAATCATTTTTAAAAATTTTGTCAGTCAGTTTGTCCGGTCTAATCTTCGGAATGGCTGAACCATTGTGATGAAACTTTTTGAACAGATACCGATTAATGCCACGAGATATCTAGATTATATTTTATCCACAAATCTTGAAGATATTTTTTTTTTGAAAAAAAAACGACGAATTCATAAAATAAATGGTCTTTAATTATCTTAAATCTAAATGATGCTACATTAATATATTATATCCAGGCAAAACAGGGATGGGGGGGGGGGTCACTAGTTTATAAGAAATATCAAAATGTCATATATTTTTTATACATATCCGATAATGGAATATGTATATATGTCACAGTTAAAACGACTATTACTTGGATGTAGAATCTGTCTTTAATAGTTAAAATCGACATGAGAGACTAACATTTTAATTAAGCTGTTGCACAAAACATCTGACTTATATTTATTCTTCTCTAAATTTTATTTATTGAAAATCTTTCTTCTTTAAACCACTATTTGTGGAATTTTACGATGCGCTAAACGTCATTAGTCTGTAATATTGACAGTTCTGATATTTAACTTTAGTGCGTCAAGCTTAAACTATTTTAAACTATCATTAGCTCCTTGAGGTAAAATTGATTTGGCAACTAGTGTTTTGTAAGAGCATACCGAGTTGTTAGAGTAAATTATAGTAGTAAGCAAGCATTTAAAAGGAAAATGTCTGATAGTCCTTGTCTGACGAGGAAGATCAGGCTGACAACGCATCTGCATTTTGATTCTTAATCGAGGATAAATGTAGATGTCTATGGGCCACAGTATTCACTTACCATCACGTGAACTGTATGCTCGTTTGTCACCCTCGTTCTACAAAAAAAAAGTTTAAAAAATATTTCAATAAATATTCAAGTCTGATGCATCACTTAAAATAAGAGATCATAAGTCGTTAGCCTGCATCGGTAGTATAATATGATTGCAAAATATTTATTAACTTACACTAACTTGTTTGCAGATTTTAAATTTGGACCATATAAAATTAGTACTTATTACAAGACAGTGGTAATATAATAAAAACTGATCATAACCATTCCTGTACCCTACTACCACAGCATAAGAAGCTTATGACAGAAGTTATATTGCAATTCGAAATTTGTGGAGAGATACTTTGATGTATGAAAGACGATGCCTATGTTCTAACAGAGAAATTACAGAGAAAACATTTAACTGTGCTTTATATTCATGCAAACGAAAATAATTATTATTTTATTACTGTAAACAAAACAGTAATAAAATAATAATTATTTGTCCCTACGACAAACCAATTTACTAATATATAATCAAAAACATCAACGTTATGATTTTTTATATACTACTACTACATATTGAATAAAAATAATTTTAGTACACGAAATTAAACGCGATAAAATCCGTAAAATTAGTTTTATTCCACATCAAATAAACTTGGGTTTGTGACAGTTACAGAAGTTAATTAGTTCAACAACGTCAAATTCGTATGAGGTTTTTAGTTTTATTATTTAATTCATTCAATATATTTTAATTGTGTTCGATTTGTTTATTGGCAAAATAGTTTAATATAATCATTACTTAATAATACCGTGTAAGAATATCCATTCCCCATATCGTCCTGTACGTGTCATAAGTGGCGACAGAGGAAATTGAAACAGAAGATAGGCAGCAGCATCTTCTTGATTACAAGTCATAATAACAAAATACGGTTGGCAACCGCAGTATTTTGTTATTATGCCCGCCTTTTATTACTTATTGGGCCATTAATTATTATGCCTAAAGCTGTTTAATGGAACATAATTAAAATCATCATTAGCGCTGATTAATTACGTAAACAGTCAGATGCAGAAAGATTAACATTAGTATTCCATAATGGTGAACTTTCCGCAACTGACTGTTTCACTTCTATTAACTTTGTCAAAAATACGAAAACACCCATCAAGTAATACTAGCGACAGTAGGTTAATAACCGTGACCTCTGTTAACCCCGTCAGCTCCTTTTCGCACCAACGTCTCCATACTGCAAGAACTCGGTAATCTCTGTCAGTGTTGGTACAGAGCCGCATAATAAAGTTCGGACACGTATCCTGGTGTGTGAGTGACACCATCGATTTGTACTATAGCCCGAGGATGGTCGCACGAGCGATGGATTAAGGCTGCTGTAGGCGATAACTTATACGTGTGGATGTCGGCTAACAGAAAGAATGCTCGTGAGACTGCTCACTTGGCATATTTTAAACATGTTTCTCCGTGATAATTACTACCGTTCTGTCAAGTGTTACGACGAAGACAAAGAAGAAAAAGAACCCTATCATAAATAAAGGGAGATATTCACAGCAGTAAACACATATAGGTCTCAAGTGAAGTAAAGTTAAAGCCTCTATACACACTACCTCTGGGCACAACAGACATATCATTTCTGAGAAGGTTATAGAACAATTAGTCCGCCCCGCTGTGTCAATGCGTATTGGCGGACTTCACATGACTTTGAAATATTTTATTCCTTTGTAGGTTAATGTTTTTTACTTGCCTGGCACGTACGTGGAAAATCAGCCCTTAAAATTGCAATCACCAATTTCTTCAATAGGTCTAACAATAATCTATTTATTTGATCTGATATTAAGTCGTTAAGTCTGTCAAAAATAAGAAAGCACATATCAAGAAATATTAGTTAACAGTAGTTAACGGTGCGGCGGGGGTGGTTCTTGGACTGATTCAAAACTACCGACACTATTATATTACTTACTAGCGGTGATATCTGGATTATCTGTGATGGCTGCACCAATTGTAGCCGGCTAAACCTAGCGCCATGTATCCGCTTTGGTTTTCAGCCGTAAATAATATGTACAGAAACGTAAATATCATTCTGTAAGTGTTATTTATATGTCGAAAACGAAATATATCTAAAGATGTGATAATTTTGAATAACAAAGTTTTAAATAACTCGTGTGAAATTCGGTTAAAAACAAAATAATTTCAATATTTCTTCGTTTAAAATATTCCGAACGAAAATAACCAGCAACAAACTATATACGGGCTATAACTTATTTATATACTTAAACTTTAATGCACAGAGTAGTACAAATGGCGGATTTATACGAGTTAGAGCCATGTATACGTGGTAGAGCCATGCTGCAGTTATCTTAGTGGTATAGTTGTGGCACGAATGGGTCGGTTCGACCGGGGAAGGACCACGCTCTCACAGAATACCAGCGTAAAATAGCAGCTTAACACTGCTGTGTTTCGTATGGTGAGTGTAGAGAACCGGAGACCCTTTTTACTGGAAAAGAGGCATTCCATCTTAAGCCTCACGGGTGACAACGCATCTGCATTTTAATTCTTTATCGAGGATATCATAGATGTCTATGGGTCACAGCAATCACTTACCATCAGGTGGAGTGTGTGCTCGTTTGTTACCCTATCCTATTATATAATAATAATAAATATGTACTGAATTCAATTTTTGCATGCCAATTATGGCAAAACATAATGAGTTCCACATTATTGAACATCTTATGTACAATGTTTTTAAGCAAATAAATGTTCTATCTACCTTTTTTCCAAAGAGCATTCTCGCCTAATGAAGCGTTAGTTTAGGCAAAGACAGAACATATTGTAAGAAGCGGTGCAGTGCAAATCAAAAGAGGAAAAGTTGATAAAAGAAAGATAAATATTATAATTAAAAATTAAAAATTTTGTACAACTGACTTCAATATAACCAAACAAGTCAAACATATAAGTCAAACCTTGATCAAATTTATATGGGATCACACGTGAAGCACCACCTTTCAAATAAAAAAAGAATTATCGAAATCGGATCACGAAAAAAAACATACAGTCGAATTGAGTACAATTGAGTACCGTCTCTCCTTTTTGAAGTCGGTAGAAAATACATACAATATGAATGATAACGCAAATTTACACTAATTCTATAATATCTAATTAAGTACATATAAATATATAATTATTATCTGTGTCAGGATAAAAATATGAATATATACTACGAGTATATTACAATCTTTAAAGTTTATATAAAACTTCATTGGTTTAAAATAACAACGTTTTATTATATACTCGTACTAACCAACTATTTAATTTGTATGTATTTTATAAAAAAAACTGTTGTTTCTTTCCGGTACATCGATTTCATTTAATCCTTCCTTGCTGGAACTTGATTTGGATCAAAATAAAAGAAAACCTAACACTCGGAAATAGAGTAGATTCTTATCAGTGTGAGAATTTTCAGAATAGCCTTAGTAGTTCCAGAAATTACTGATAGAAATAATTTTACCCTATATATATAAAACAGGCATACTATGCTATTACTCCAAGCATGTGTTTGATTTACTTGTTAGGATAGAATTATTAATAAAGAGTGAGAACTTTGAAAACAGCTATTGTTACTATACAAGAACTTTAATATTGCTAACGTTGCAAGAATTTTTAAAAACACTTCTATTAAACAGGTCAACAGCGGTGACACTTGATGACATAGAGTTATGAACTTCGCTGACCCACGACGTATATGTCATTCCTAAAAATAGAGCGTAAAACAAAAAATAAAGCAATTTTGTACCCAACGTAAGATATCATTTTAATTAAAAATAATTTAAAAAGCTGTACATAACTAATTATCTTTGCGCGAGCAATAATAGAATAAACAGCTAACCGCTAAATGGCCCAAAGTGATTATAAAACATGTTTAAAATGAAATAAAATATATTTACTTAAAAGATAATAAAATTTCGCGAAAGATACTAAAATTTCGATTACCGAATGCAACTTATTTCAAATTAGGAGCTTATCAGTGACATATCCAAACTCATCAAATAATGAGATGTGTCTCCCTTCA